GCTCAGGCAAAGTGGCCTAGTCTGAGCACATCTTATATAGACAAGCAGACAAGGAGGCGGGACAGGAAGTAATAGAAGGGAAGGAAATAAAACCCAGAGGACAGCAGACGACGCCCATAGAAGAGCACAGACAAACATGAGAAGGAATCAGAACAGGACTGCAGCAAGAAAGGTAAGAACACAAACAAATCTGCAGTCTAACATGTGACAGTACCCCCCCCCCCCCCCATGAGGTCTCCCCACTTTTTTTAGGGCCAGACTTAAGGGGAAACTTCTGATGAAAAAATTCCACCAGACGGGGGGCAGAAACATCAGTAGAAGGAATCCAACACTTTTCCTCAGGACCATATCCCTTCCTGTCAATTAGATACACGAGCTTCCCTCTGATGAATTTAGAATCCAAGATTTGCTTGACTTCATACTGATCCGAAGTACTCGCTACTGGGGAAGGATGATGAGAATGGGAAAATCTGTTGATGATATACTGTCTTAGAAGAGAAACACGGAAAACATTAGGGATTCTCAGATGTGAAGGGAGGCAAAGTTTAAAAGCAACAGGATTGACCTGGGAAAGGATGGTAAAAGGACCAAAGAACCTAGGAGCAAATTTCATAGAGGGTACTTGTAGACAGATACTCTTGGTAGAGAGCCAAACCTTGTCACCCGGGAAAAATTTGGGACTCACCCGGTGATGACAATCTGCAGCTACTTTGTACTTGGAAGCTGACAGATGTAAGTTCTTGGAGACATTTGCCTTAGAAGGAGTAAGAATATAAGAATAGGAGAACATACGACAGGAAACTAGGCTGGAGCAGACACCAATAACCAGGATGAAGGGTCTGGTGAGGAGGCTGCCAGGGAGGGCACAGGAGTAGGCGTGAAGGCTTCGATTTGTACAGTGGGCAAGACAGGCTGTGCAGAACAGGAACTTGGGGCAATACAAGGAACAGAGGGCACTGTAGGGTGTACAGGGGCAGGACAGGGGACAGAAGGCACTGTAGGGTGTAGGGGGGCAGGACAGGGGACAGAGGGTACAGTAGCTACTAATGTGGAAAACACGGCTGGGTCCAAAGCAGCTGAAGGGAGTTTTGGGGTCTCAGCATGCAGGGCACATGAATCTGGGAACTCAGATAGTACAGAGGTCACAGATGTTGGGACCTCCACCCACCTAGAAGGTAGCGACATAGGAGCTCTGAACTGCAAAGTATGTAAAGGGACCAAATATTTGGGCAGCAAAGAGGGTAAGGAACTAGAAGTGGACAGCATCGGAAAGAGGCCCACAATAGGAGTAGGCAGGGGAGCAGCTTTACTACAAGAAACATCTTGTAAGGTCTGGCAATGTTGAGGGAGCATCGGAGAAGTGGTGGCCTCAGCCATGGGTACAGTGAGAGGTGGGAACACCTTAGGGAGACAAGTCTGATTGCATTTTGACCCCCAAGACAATACTTGGCCAGAGTTCCAGTCAAGATTGGGTGAGTGTTTCTGCAACCATGGAAGTCCAAGAATGATGGGGCTAGAAGAATTAGGGAGGATCAGGAAGGAGATTTCCTCACAATGAAGAGCGCTAACATGCATAGTTATGGAGGTGGTCCAGAAGCGTAGAGGTCCTAAGGCCAAGGTAGAGCCATCAACTGTAAATACTGATTGGGGAGTCATCAAGGGGACAAGAGGAATGCCCAATTCAGTGGCCAAAGATTGCTCAATGAAGTTCCCGGCTGCCCCAGAGTCCACATAAGCAGAAACCTGGTATGAGTTTAGGGCTCAATGAATGGAGACAGGTATGATAAATCGAGGGAAGGTGGCAGGATTCAGGTTCTGGTCTAGATCACCTCCCTCAGAGTGACCTAGACCCTAGTTTCCCGAGCGGACAGAACATGACTTAATTAGATGACCTTCAGCCCCACAGTACAGGCATAGACCAAATCTTAGGCGACACGATCGCTCTTGTGGAGTAATGTGTGTTTGGCCTAACTGCATGGGCTCTTCAAATGTCAGTACAGTTGCAGAGGCAAGTTGATCAGGGACTTTCTGGAAACAGGAGCAAAAGAACCCACTGGAGGGCGACGTGGATGATCTTGCTCCTGGAAGCAGGTATCGATTTGGATGCTAAGAGCAATCAAGTCATTCAGGGTGGTGGGTAGGTTTCTTCTAGCTAGTTCATCCTTATTACGGTCTGCTAGACCCTGCCAAAAGGTTGCAGAGAGGGCCTCATTATTCCATGCCAGTTCCGAAGCTAAGGTGCGAAACTGAACTGCATATTGTCCAACAGTCCTGCTACCTTGACAAAGCCGAAGAAGAGCTCCTGCGGCAGATGAAGTCCTGCCGGGCATATCAAAGGTTTTACAGAAAGCTTGCAGGAAAGCTGGGAGGCTGCAAATAGTTGGATCTTTGTTGTTCCCACAGTAGCGAGGCCCAAGCCAGTGCTTCACCAGAAAAGAGGGAAATCATATACGCCACTTCGGAACGGTCAATAGAAAAATGGTGGGCTGCTAACTCGAAGTGAATTTAGCACTGATTGATGAAGCCCCGACAAGCTTTGGGATCACCAGAGAAGTGAGGCGGTGGAGGCAGCTGGAGTCTCGAAGGACAGTGTTCCACTGGGAGAACAGCGGAAGGTGGAGCAGCAGGAACCAGAGCAGGGGCCAAAACAGAGGGTGAGGAAGTGGACACAACATGTAGCTGATCCAACCGGGAGGAGAGTTCTTGCAGACAGTGCATGATTTGTTCTTGAAAGGCCTGCTGGACCTCGACTCTCAGCACCAAATCTTGAAGTTATTCCAGGACAGGCTGCGGTGTCTCCGAAGAGCTCATGGCCTGAGCAAACTGTCAGCACCTGTGATAGTGAGCTCTATTGATCCACAACTTGGGGTTCCCCAGGGCACGGAGTCTAAGCCCCAGCCATGCTGGGACCAGGTCGCTGTCCCCAGGTACACCCAGCTGAGGTGGAGGAGACCGCTAGCGGGAGCAGGGTACAACGGGAGAAGACACAGGGAATCCAATAGGCAAGCCGAGGTCAGGACAGGCGGAAAACAAGCAAGGTCAGGAACGAAGTCGGGGTTGGTACACAAATAGCCAATATAGGATTCACAGCAGAAACACAAGGGAGCTCCAACAACTAAGACGTTGCTCAGGCAAAGTGGCCTAGTCTGAGCACATCTTATATATACAGGCAGACAAGGAGGCGGGACGGGAAGTAATAGAAGGGAAGGAAATAAAACCCAGAGGACAGCAGCCGACATCCATAGAAGAGCACAAACATGAGAAGGGATCAGAACAGGACTGCAGTCTAACATGTGACAAACTGGCAATTGAGTGATCATGCAACGCTGTACCCAAATTAAATTTATATCATATATAAATTCCACACAAATAGAAATTTTTTGGATGTTATTTGATCACAACTGGGTTTTATATTTTTTATTATATAAACAAAAAAGACCGACAATTTTGGAAAAAAAAACTATATTTTTTACTTTCTGCTATAAAACAAATAAAAAAAAAAAAAAATCTCTTCATAAATTTTGGCCAAAATGTATTCTGCTACATGTCTTTGGTAAAGATAAAATCCCAATAAGTGCATATCGATTGGTTTGTGTGAAAGTTATAGTGTCTACAAACTATGGGATATACAGTATACTGGAATTTGTATTTATTTATGTTTTTAAACTAGTAATGGTGGCGATCAGAGACTTATAACGGGACTGCAATAGTGCGGCAGGCAATCTGACACTGACACTGGGGGGAGCTGACTAACTGGCACTGACATCACCAGTGACATTATTACAGTGATCAGTGCTAATAATATGCATTGTCACTGTAATAATGATACTAGGCAGGAAGGGGTTAACATTAAGGTGATCAAAGGGTTAAATGTGTGCCTAACAAGTGTTTGTGTGTACTGTGTGCTTGTCAGTGCTCCAGGTATGATCAGAGGTGTGTGGACTGACACAGGCTTCAGATATGGTATAAACAATATAATTTATTAAGACTAACAATACAAAACGCAGTGCAAAACTAAACATAAACACAGTGCAAACAAACCAAACCAAACCACCCACCGATAACAATACATACAATACAAAGAGTAGTCAGGCAGGCCGGGTCAGTAGCAAACGGGCAAACGGAGTACCAGGAACAGGCGGGAGAGTGGTCGGGGTCACAAGCTGGGTTCAGTAACTCACGGGCAGCGCGGTACAGAGGGTCAGGCAGAGAATGGTCAGGGTCACAAGCCAGGGATCAAGCAGGAGAAGTCAGCATAGGTCAGGATCAGGCAGGGTCGGCAACAAGTCAGGCAGGAACAGGAATACAGGATACAAGGTACAGGGGCCCATGGAAAAACACACACCAAGGCCCTGACTGTGAGTCTGGCCATTCCTTAAATACAACGCCTGCAATCAGCTTCAGGTGTTTGGCTGATTGCAGGGGTGAGTCTCTGATTGCTGAGAGCACCCGCTGGCCAGCCCTGGTACTGCAGCCCACAAGGCAGGTGAGTCCCACCATTATTGGCAAGTCCATTCCTGACAGTACCCCCCCCCCCCTCAAGAGCGGCCTCAGGATGCTCCAACAGTCCTAGCTGGGCAAAATGTTCCACCGCCCGGGTCCGGTAACTGGCGGGATATCAAAGACTGGCACATCAGGCTGGGCACCAGACGGAGGCACATGGGGCTGGGCACCGGACGGAGGCACATCGGGCTGGGAACCGGACGGAGGCACATCGAGCTGGGCACCAGACGGAGGCACATCGGGCTGGGCACCGGACGGAGGCACATCGGGCTGGGCACCTGACGGAGGCACATCGGGCTGAACACCGGATCACCAGGCGGAGCAGCGGGCACCGGGCCACCAGGCAGGGCGGCAGGCACCGGGCCACCAGGCGGGGCGGCAGGAACCGGGCCCCCAGGTGGAGCGGCAGGCACGGGTCATCTGGCAAGACCGCGGGCACCGAGTCATCTGGCACAACAGCGAGCTCTGAGTCAACCGGCATGACAGCAGGCTCCGAGTCAACTGGCACGACAGCGGACACTGGGTCATCGGGTCATCTGGCTCGACAGCGGGCATCGGGTCATCTGGCTCGACAGCGGGCATCGGGTCATCTGGCTCGACAGCGGGTACCGGGTCATCAGGCATTAGATCGTCTGGCTCGACAGCGGGCATCGGGTCATCAGGCATGACAGCGGGCATCGGGTCACCAGGCACGACAGCGGGCACTGGGTCATCAGGCATTGGATCGTCTGGCTTGACAGCGGGCATCGGGTCACCAGGCATCAGGTCATCTGGCTCGACAGCAGGCACCGAGTCATCTGGCAAGACAGTGGGCACCGAGTCATCAGGCACGACAGCGGGCATCGGGTCACCAGGCATCAGGTCATCTGGCTCGACAGCGGGCACCAAGTCATCTGGCAAGACAGCGGGCATCGGGTCATCAAGCAAGACAACGGGCTCCGAGTCATCAGGCAAGACAGCGGGCACCGAGTCATCTGGCAAGACAGCGGGCATCAGGTCATCAAGCAAGACAGCGGGCTCCGAGTCATCTGGCAAGACAGCGGGCATCGGGGGCATCAGGTCATCTGGCTCGACAGCGGGTACCGGGTCATCTGGTTCGACAGCGGGCATCGGGTCACCAGGTATTGGATCGTCTGGCTCGACAGCAGGCATTGGGTCACCAGGCATTGGATTGTCTGGCTCGACAGCAGGTACCGGGTCATCGGGCATTGGATCGTCTGGCTCGACAGCGGGCATTGGGTCACCAGGCATCAGGTCATCTGGCTCGACAGCTGGCATCGGGTCATCAGGCACGACAGCGGGCATCGGGTCACCAGGCATCAGGTCATCTGGCTCGACAGCGGGCACCGAGTCACCTGGCATGATAGGATCATTAGGCTGGATCAGTTCATCAGGCTGGGTACAGACATCAGGCTGGGTAGAGACATCAGGCTGAATTGCGGGTGCCGAGGCACCAGGCTGAACCACGGAAGGCAGGTTTTCAGACGGCAGGCTGACCGTTTTGGTACAGGCAGGATGGTACTGGTTGGAAAGAATTTTCGCTTTTTTCTGGTTTTAGTTACTGGAGCAAAGGAAGTAAACGCAGGTCTGTAAACAAATGGTGCAGCTAAAGACAGAGAAGAGCTGGAGGATGGAACAGAGGAGGGAGCAGTTGCTACAGAGGACTTCTTTACAGGGTTAAAGAAAGGATAGGTGCAGCGAGTGGGAACAGGGGACTGGTATGTGGTAGTTAGCAGAGTATACTGGGCCATCACTGGGGGTGCTGTCGGGGATGCAGGAAGAGTGCCTTGAGCAGAGGAATGATGTTGCAAGATGACTGAGGCTGGGTGCAACAAATCTGTCTATGTCTGCAGTACTGGTTGAACAAAACTCAGCTTACACATAGCCTGTCTGACCAAAGATTGCACTGCGTTTATGCAATCCATAAGCACATGGGATGGACAAGTTGCATAATGCTCATGGAAGCAATCTGGATCATCCTCCAACAACCATACCAGTGATTCCACTTGATCCACACTAAATGGGGGAAAAAAGTAATTCCTGCTTTCAGGGGTACAGGACCGAGCCAACTCAGCACAAACCTGGATCAATGGCTGCACCTCAGAAAACTCTGTGCCCTGATCTACTAGGCAATGAGCGATCCTTATACACTCTAGTAGTTGATCCCTGGGATACTCCTTCAGAGTCTGATAAGCATAGTCTTTGTCATCAAACACTAGCAGAGATAAATACACAACCTCATCAAGATTCATCCTTCCCAGCAACAATAAGCCAAGATGGTTTCCCTGTGCAGCCACTTCTGGTCAGGATTGGCCTTGGTGTAATGTCAGGGCTCCGGGTATGACCAGAGGTGTGTGGACTGACACAGGGAAACGCAGGCTTCAGATATGGTATATAAACAATATAATTTATTAAGACTAACAATACAAAACGCAGTGCAAAACTAAACATAAACACAGTGCAAACAAACCAAACCAAACCACCCACCGATAACAATACATACAATACAAAGAGTAGTCAGGCAGGCCGGGTCAGTAGCAAACGGGCAAACAGAGTACCAGGAACAGGCGGGAGAGTGGTCGGGGTCACAAGCTGGGTTCAGTAACTCACGGGCAGCGCGGTACAGAGGGTCAGGCAGAGAATGGTCAGGGTCACAAGCCAGGGATCAAGCAGGAGAAGTCAGCATAGGTCAGGATCAGGCAGGGTCGGCAACAAGTCAGACAGGAACAGGAATACAGGATACAAGGTACAGGGGCCCATGGAAAAACACACACCAAGGCCCTGACTGTGAGTCTGGCCATTCCTTAAATACAACGCCTGCAATCAGCTTCAGGTGTTTGGTTGATTGCAGGGGTGAGTCTCTGATTGCTGAGAGCACCCGCTGGCCAGCCCTGGTACTGCAGCCCCACAAGGCAGGTGAGTCCCACCATTATTGGCAAGTCCATTCCTGACAGTGCTGCTTTTATTGGGGATCTAGTTGTTTTCATTCCCTGCTTAGCAGGGGATGAACAAACAATGAGATCCCTGTCACTGAACACAGCTCTGTGTTGTTTACAACACAGTCGATCAGCGAGTGCCGGTGGCCAATCATTGGCCATGACCCGTGATCGGTGTGTGTTGTGATGAATCACAGCACAGCCGGGCCGGTGGGTACACAGATCATGTACTAGGTACATGGTCCAGTGCAGGGAGGCTGCTCTTCTGCCATATAACTAGTTATATGGTCAGCAAATGGTTAAAGTGGTTTTAAAGGCAAAATGTTTTTTTACCTTAATGCATTCTCTGCATTAAGGTATAAAAAACTTTTTAGGAGCAGCTCCCCTGTACAAACCCTTTAAATACTCACATGAGCCCAATCTCAGTCTGCAGCAGCTCTTCTCCCATCACCCAGCTCTCAAAAACTTGCCTGAGAGCAATGGAAGCCATTGGCTACTGCTGCTGTCCGTCAAAACCAGTGAGCAGGGGGCAGGGCCAAGACAGACTATGTGTCTGAATAGATGCAAGCAGCTTGGCTTGGGAGCAAGCCTGCACAAGTGACCACCATAGGAAGCCTTTTAGTGGCCACTCGGCAAGGGACCCAAGAAGAAGAGAATTGGGGGTGACATGTTTTTTGTTTTAATTAAAAAAAAAAAAACCTGAAGCTTTAATATCACTTTAAAAGATAGCTTTCTGTACAGGAGGTGGCTTTTAGGTAAATATATAATGTAGTCTTCAAACTCTTTATCCTCTTCCCCCGCCCTATAGCAGAAATACAGCTACAGGGCAGCAGAGCTGCGCAAAGTCACATATATATACGTGATTTGCATTTCCGGGTAGGGGGCGCACGCGCCGTCCTACCTGTGCCATTATTAGCAGCTATAGATGTCAATCACCAGGTCCGGCCAGAGATTTCCCAGCAGCACCCGGCGATTGCCAAGTAACATTGACAGGGGAGAGACCTGTGTGTAAACAGCACAGGTCTCTCTTCTGCCAGCAACAACATGCTGCTGTGTAATTCTCTGCATAGCTATAGCTATCACGTAAATTAATTTACATGTATTGGGTTTTTTTTTTAAGCAAAGACATGCAGCAGAATACATTTTGGCCTAAATTTATGAAAAAATTAGATTTTTTACATTTTTTTTTACTGGATATGTTTTACAGAAAAAAAAATCAAAAAATATTTGTTTCAAAATTCTCCTTTTTTTGTTTGTAGCGCAAAAAAAAAAAATGCACAGGTGATCAAATACTACCAAAAGAAAGTTCTATTTGTGGGAAAAAAAGGACTGCATCACTGCGCAACTTTCAATTAAAGTAACGCAGCGCTATATCTCAAAAAATGGCCTGGTCAAGAAGGGGGGAAATCCTCTGGAGAGCAAGTGCTTAACACAAGTTAGTTGGACTTTAACCACTTGCCGCCCACCCACTGAAGAAATACGGGGGGGGCAGGGGGGCACTGGCAGGCAAAACCACGTTTTAAAATGTGTGTTTTGTAAACAAATAGGGGGCGCACGCGAGGCGCGCTGCCGCCCTATCTGTCCCGCCGATCACCGCCGCGGATGTCAGTAGCTAGGTCACAGCCGGTCCTTAGCGGCTGTTTCCCGGCGATTGGTGGTAAACAGTGACAGAGAGCACAGCTGCAGTAGCTGTGCTGTCTGTCTTCACTTCCTTGTCAGCTCGAGGACGAGCTGATCGAGACAGAAGAGTTTCTCTCTCTCTATCAGCCTTGTCCCGTCCAGTACACATCCCCGCCCCCTAGTAAAAACTCTCCCTCACTCAGATAACCCTTCCCTGCAAAATAAAGTTAACCCCTTCCTCCCCAGTGCCATTAGTACAGTGCCAGTGTTTTTCTTTTTGCACTGATCACTGTATTAGTGTTTTTGGGGATGTCAGTGACCCCAAGTCAGTACCCCCCAATGTCAGAATGTCCGCCGCAGTCCCGCCATAAGTCGCTGGTCGCTGCCATAAGTCGCTGATCGTCGCCATAAGTCGCTGATCACCGCCATTATTAGTATAAAAAAAACCCTAAAAATCCCAGTATCTTTCCCACCATTTGTAAACGCTATAACTTTCACGTAAACCAATTAATTTACACGTATTGTTTTTTTTTTTAGCAAAGACATGTCGCAGAATGCATTTTGGCAGAAATTTATGACTAAATTTGATTTTTGCATTTTTTTTTTACTGGACATGTTTTATAGCAAAAAGTCCAAAATATTGTTTTTTTTTTCCCTCAAAATTGTCAGCCTTTTTTTTATAGTGCAAAAAATAAAAACCGCACAGGCGATCAAATGCCACCAAAAGAAAGCTAAATTTGTGGGGAAAAAAAGGATGTAAATTTCATTTATGTACCGTATTGCATGACCGCGCAATTGTCCGTTAAACTAGCGCAGCGCTGTATAGCAGAAAAATGGCATAGGTTGCAGTATTTATACCATAGTTTGTAGAAGAAGCTATAACTTCCACACAAAGCAATCAATATACACTCATTGGGATTTTTTTTACCAAAAACATGTAGCAGAATACATTTTGGCCTAAATTTATAACCAACTTTGAGTTTACTATATATTTTTTATAGCTGAAAGTAAAAAATATTGTTTTTCTTCAAAATGTTTGGCCTTTTTTTGTTTATAGCGTGAAAAATAAAAAGCACACAGATGATCAAATACCACCGAAAGAAAGTTCTATTTGTGTGAAAAAAAGGACGTAAATTTCGTTTGTGTGCAGCATTCCATGACCACGCAATTATCAGTTGAATTAGTGCAGCGCCAAGTAGCAAAAAGAGGCCTGGTCATTAAGGGGGTAAATCCTCTGGAGCTCAAGTGGTTAAAGTGGAACTTTACTCTCTCAATCAACATAGACTAATTGTAATTTTTATGCTGCCAGCATTAGTAAATAGATAGA